GCACGGAGAGCATCCCTGCCCCGGGGCAGAGCCTTCCCCGCAGGGGACCGGAGGAGAAAGGAGCCCCGCGTGCCCTGGCAAGGGGCCGCATCCTCAGCTGGTGGGGATGGCGCAGTGGCTGGGGAGACGCCAGCGGCTCGGGGACGCCGGGTAAAAATAAAGGCGAGGAGAGGCTGGAAGGGGCCAGGCTCTTCACAGCACAAACACAAGCCGCATTGTGGTCTCGTCTCCCACCCACGCGGCAGCAGCCATTCGAGGCAGTGCAGCCGGTGGTCCGGCAACTGGGATGGGATTAGCCCAGGCGGCGCCAGCCACGTCCTGGGGATCCCCCTTGACCCCAGATGGGAGAGGGAAACTGAGGCACGGGGCCGGGGGAGGAAAGGCTCTGCCCCAGGGTGCAGGAGGGGATGCTGAGACGTGAGGGGGTTGAACCCAGTGTCGGAGCAGGGGGAAAGCACCGGCCCATGCGGTGCCTTGGCTGGATGGGTATTTAGCATCTCCCGAAAGGACCCGGAGTTTTCCCAGCGTCTTGGCAGCGCCCACTGACTCCCACCACGGCGCTGAGACAGGCGAGCGCAGCGTCTGCCTCCGTGCCGGGCGTGCGTGGACGCGGGGCACTGACTCACCCGCAGGCGTGCGGCGAAGCGCAGCCAAGTCTCCCCCGGGAATCCGGGTCCCCCCCTCGCGCTCAGCCTCGGGGGAGACGCCTTCAGGACGAGCCCAGGGCAGCGCCAGGACCTGGGACCCCCGGACCCCCATCCCCCGTCACTCGCAGAGCTGCCGTCTCCATTCCCCCTTCCCCTGCAGGCGGGTGAATTCGTGCTGCTCCGAGAACCCCCCCTGCCCCACGGGTCTCCCTTCCCGATGGAGGATTCCCAGTACCGACCAGTGCTGCAGCTCTGAAAAGCCCCAGAGACGCAGCCGCCCCCACCGCGGTCCTGCAAAGCCGCGTCCCGGGCACTGCTGCCCTGAGCTGTGCAGGCAAATTGCTCTGGAAATCAATTCCGATCTATCAGGCATCAGGAAAGCGATAAACTGCCCCCTCAAGACACCAAATCGATGGTTCCTCTCAGCCCGGAGCAGAGGGAGGAAGGGGGGGAGAGGCGTGGGCGGACAGGGGACATTGAGGGGGTGATGGTGGGGGGCCGGGGACCAGCTGCAAGGGAGAACTGGGTCCAGTTGGAAGGAAAAAAACCCAAAAGCAGCTTTAGATGTGGCGAAGGGCAAAGATGACACACGTCCACACGCTGAGCAAAACTGCTCCGGGGTTGGAGCAATGGGGAAAGCTCAGGAGAGCGGTTGCCCCCCAAGGAGCGGGGGCTCCGGCTCCAGCCTTCACCCGTAACCTGTGGCCACAGGGCTTTGCTGGCTCGGAGGCAGGACCTCATCCGAGCCCGCGATCAGGGTTCGGCTTCACGCCTTGGTCTCATCCCTGCAAGCAGAGCGAGAGGGCGGAGGTGTGGGGGGGCCATGGAGCTGGTGGGGGGCGAGGGGGGGCTGGCAGAGAGCAGGAGGAGGGGGGGCTGGAGGGGACAGACACCGAGATCAAAAATACCTTCCCGAC